AGTGGGACTCATTGTTTTTAATTGATTACTTTTCTTTTTTTTTTAGAGATTTTATTTATTTATTCATGAGAGAGAGAGGCAGAGACACAGGCAGGGGGAGAAGCAAGCTCCATGCAGTGAGCCCGACGTGGGATCCGATCCTGGGTCTCCAGGATCACGCCCTGGGCCAAAGGCAGGTGCTTAACCGCTGAGACACCCAGGGATCCCTAATTGATTACTTTTCAATATGAGAAAATGAAGAAAAGATTGGAGGCCTGGAGATCCACTGCTGCTCAGCAAAGGAGAAACTTTCCTGGCCAGGATGAGGGGAGTTGGACCTTTATTTAAAGCCAGGGGGACCTCAGAAGACAACGTAGATTCCAGAACAAGCCCCAGTGGGTAAGTGTTATTAAGCATTTCCAGAGACTGGAGGCTGGAGCGTGAGTAGAAGGGCACATAACTGAATACACATGAAAGCTCAGAGTTCCCCGGGGCACCTCGGAACATCCACCATCACCAAGTAGAACGATGACGCACGCGTGGATGTTCTCTGCCTGTGGCGGAGGACAGGAGACCAACCCAGGTAGGTCACCTGCCGGAAACTCGGTGATTCATGAATCCTGTTTCACGGCCCAGTGGCCTTGGGCCCAACTCTTTACTTTGGCTCCTTCTTCTCCAGGAAACCGTGGAGGCCGCCTGGTGCGGGGGCCCGGGGCCTCCAGGCCGGGCAGGAGGTGGCCCCTCTGCTGCTGCCCTGCAGTCGCCCCCTCTGGGATCATGAGATTCGCAGCCTCCAGGGTGGAGGTCAGGCCTCCCCAGCCTCCAGGCTCTGGGGAAGGACCGGCCCTCCCACGACAGTGTTTTGACACCACTTCCTCTGAGTCGCTTCAGTGGGAACAGCGGACCTGGGATAACTGCTCCTATTTCCGAGTCATCTAAGGGAATCACGAAAGCACTTGTTCCTTCGCTTGGGGGTTTCTCGTCGTCAGATGGTCAGTTGTCTCCCACCCCCTTCTAGGAGGGCAGCACTCACCCAGGCCTGACTGTCCTCCGTGACGACACAGAATGAAGCTGTCACCGGGATTCCCTGTCTCTGTGCGTTCGTGTGTCTTCCACGGTGGGTATCATCCCCGGGGGCCTCCGACGGCAGGACTCCTCGGGCCGCCGCCCCACCTGGCGCCACAGGCCGGCCTCCCATGGGCGGGACGCGTGGTCACCTCGGGGGGCCCAGCTGTTGGCATCTGGACAGCCATGCGAGAGGCCACAGAAAGGTGAGGTCGAGTGTGTTCTGGAAGGCCGTGGCCTCTGGGAGACAACAGAAGGGAAGGGCCCCCCGCTGCCCCGGGAAGGGGCTGCCTCCACTTGGCTGTGGTTTGAGGACAATTCCTTTCCCTTCCAGAAACAAATGTGTAACTAGCACGGCTTCTCTGGAACTGGAAGCTTCCTGGCCATGACGGTTAACCTGCTGCGTCCGGGCCGGGCACCCAAGTGGGTGCCCGACAGGTGCCGCTGCCCGGGGCCCCCGGCGTGTTCAGGCCCACGGCCAAGCACCTGGCATGGGGCTGCCGCGACAAATGTCAAATGGGTGTGAGCCGTGCTCAGAAAATGGCAGTGAAGGCCAAGAACCTGGGCAAGAATGTGGGCGCTGGGGGCCGTCGTGGTGGGCGTCAGGCTGCACCCTGAGGGTCGGCCGGGCCGGGCTGGACGGGGGGCCTCATGGGTGTCAGTGGGGCCTGGTCGTGGGCCGGCCGTGAGGGGGGAAGCCCGAAGGAGGACATGGTGGAAGGACCCCAGAACGAAACATCCCCTTCTGCTCAGAGAGAAGGAGGAAAATAAAAGTCTGTCCGAGGGGAAGCTCCGAGAGGCCCCCGATCTGAGGGATGAGCGTGAGCCAGGCCGGCCTGTTTGCTGCACACAGAGGGAGTTCCCACCCACCCAGCTCGACACCGCAGGGTGTGGGGTAAAGCGAGGCCTGGGTGTGCGAGCCATGAGATAAAGTGCGATAAGGGCTTGCACTTGGCTCAGCGTCCAGCTCTGCGGGCAGGGCAGGCCCTATTTGCTCAGGCGCTGGTGTGCCCCACACTGATCCCAGGGCAGGGACCACACCATCTTGTGGGATCCTTGGTGGGTAACACCTCTCCGGCTGGCTCCAAAAATCAGAATAAGTACACACGTGCATTTTTTGTTCTCCGAGTTTGAGTATCAACTTTATGCAATTCTAATTTTTTAAAATATTTATTTCTTTATTTTGAGAGAAAGTGTGTGTGTGTGAGAGAGAGAGAGAGCAGGGGGAGGGGAAGAGAGAGGAGAGACTCTCCAGCAGGCTCCCTGCTGATGGTGGAGACCCAGGTGGGGCTCAGTCTCGGGACCCTGAGATCACGACCTCAGCCGAAACCAAGGGTTGGATGCGCAACCGAATGAGCCACCCAGGTCCCCCAAAATTCTTATTTTTAAAATAGGTATATTGGGCATCATGTGTGTGCCAATATATTCTAGGTTCTATGGAGGTGACAAAAAAATTGATGTGGCCTGTCTTCCTCCCACGGGAGGATAAGAAACATATAAAACATAGGTGGGAGGAAACAAGAGACTTGCTCACCTTCCTTAGGACTTTCGGCCTTAAATGAGACATGGGTTAAGGTTAGGATTGATCCCCTTGCCCCCTGCCCAACCCTGGCACATTTATAAATATTGCACAACGTACAGAGGAAGAAGTTCTGATTTTTGGAGCCAGTGAAATAATATTGTATAAACGATGAATTTCTTCTCTTTCACCCATAGGAAATCTAAGGCCTAAAGGGTAAGAGATTCATAGAAAGAAGGAAACAGAACAGAATCTAGGTCTCCTGGCCCCTCGTTCCAACCAGCAGCTCCCCAAATGGATTTTTCACATCCAGGATGTAGCCTCAAAAGCAGCACAATTGTTGTTTCCCTAAGGAAGCTGCCCGCCCCCCCACCTCCCCGCCAAGGGTGTTGATAGGTCTGAGAAAAATAAGTCGATAAAAAAAGAAAAAATAACAAGGTTCTACGGTCAGTTAGGTTTAGGGGAATCTGGATGAAACAACATGACATAGATTACTCCCTACCCACGTCTTAGCACAGTTGATACGTGAATGTGAATTGTCGATCTCTAAGAGTGGCATATTTGGACTCTGAACTCGATCGATCGATCGATATCATGGGGTACCTTCCACACCAGCATTTCACACTGAAAAAAATGTCAACCTTGAATCTTTGGTAAGCTATAACATGCAAAAAGCGAGTTAGACTCTACCCACATACTGAAGTGACTACCCGTGGCTGGGCCTAAAGGCACCAAGCTGTCCCCTCTTTGACTTTGCAGTGATGTGACAATCCCTGAGGCAGATGAAGACCTCTCCCCCCACCCACCCCAGAGCTTATTGACCTTTTGCAGCTAAAGAATACATTTGCATGACATTGGTGGAGACATTAAAAACATGAACAAAATCTGAGCAGGTCTGTATTAATCCAATTACCTTTTCAAAGAGGTGTCCCTAGTGAATCATCAAGCTTTACAATCACGTAACCCCATGGTAACCCCAATCCACACCTAAAAGGACAATCATGAGCTCAGAAAGGGTTCCAAGGAGGAAACTTGTAAATCAGTGATGGATGAAAATATAATATTCCTCTTGGGCAATTGGCTTTACTAGATTCAGTGCATAGGAGAAAGTAGGGAAAAAAAATAAAACTTTAATTCAACTCCAAGACTGTTTTGAGCATTTACTTGTCAGCCCAAGTGACCGTTTCTACTCTCTGCTTCTGCTGCAAACATTTTTTTCTTATTTTGACATAATTTCTGAAAATTATGTTATCTAGAAGTGAATAAAAGGACAGAGATTGCTTTTATAGCTCCGGGAAGAAAAAAAAAGAAAGTCCCCCCTGAGAGATGGGGAGGGTGTGTTGGAAGCAGTGGTATTTAAGTTGGGCCTTGACAAATGGATAACAGTTTCCTAATTAAAGGAAGGCAAGAGGGTCCCACCCCAAGATGGGATGACAACGTGTGTAAACCACAGAGGCATGAAACATCCCGAATATTCCAGTTATTGCAGGAACTACTGGTGTAGCTGGAATATAGGGATATAAGAGTGATACAGCTGGGGAGGCTTTGGAAACCTTATTATAAAGGACCCTCTGTGCCATTCCAATGAGTTTAAAGCTCATCCCGCAGGTTGCCAGTGAACATCTCTAAGCACAGTTGGGTTGTGTTTGTATATATATGTACTTTAGGAAGCTCACCTTAGGAAAAATGTGCTGGAATATGGCAGATGGGTGACCAGAGTGATCCATCACACGACTATTATTAAAGCTCTGGTGAAAGAAGCTATGGGCGAGACCAGAGTTGAGAGGCCATTCTGAGACAAGATGGAGCGTGCTTTAGGAAGGGCCTGGAGGTGGTGGTGAGAAGACACTTGCTGAAATGGGTCCCAGGTTTTCTCTCTGTGTCTATGCATGGTTCAAGGTACCCCCGAGAGAGCTCAACAGTGCAGCAAAGGATATAGGTGTGCTGGGAGGCACTAACAGAATGTGTTTAGCCTAAGCTAAGTCATCGAGGTGGGTTCAGGAAAGGTACGAAGAGGAAACCATTCCCACGTCCTTACAGGAGCTGCTATCTGCAGGGCCTCAGCATGTCCACAGTTTCTCACCTACAGTCTTGTTTGATTTTAGGGATTATTCTTCTTGCGACTCTGAGTGACATCAATACGTAAAATACCCACACCCACAGCCTCAGTTGGACCAGAAGTTATCACAGATCATATTGAGTTTGCTGTGATATCTTCAACTTCAACAGTGATGAGTCAGCTCGGCTCCATGTCGAGGTGCCTTGCCAACTAGCTAGATATTCCGCAAGCTTCCTGCCATGCTGGATCATGGCACTGATATGGAAAACGGAGAAAGATAAATCTTGGGCCCACCCTAGTCACACCTCTTTTAAGTAAAGCTGGTTAAGTACAAATATGAGAAGAGTTCTTGTCTGAGCTCATGCCGGCCTCCTCTTCTACTCCATTGCTCTGGTGAAGCCAAGATGAAGCTCACAGTGAGTAGACGATTCCTTTTGAATGTATTCTCTTATGATTAGAGACTGTTAACCTTCTGAACTAAGGCGGGGGGGGGGGTTCTGTTTCTTAGGATAATCTCACCATCATGGAAATTTTGTTTTAAAAAAAAGTCTCCTTTCATGTCATTGAACCGTGGCGATTATGAGCATCTCAGTGGAGATGGTAGCTATGCTGGCGGTAGAGAGCTGTCTGAGCATTGTATACCGTGCTAGCTAAATAAAACTACCTTCCTGGCCTTCTGATTCAGGGCTGGTCACAAAGCAGGCAGTCCTTTGGCCATAGAAAATGCCCAAACTTTCTCCACATTCTTGAATCCCCCTTTTGACCAAAATTCCTGAGCATGTTCAGGCAAGATGAGAAGCTTAGTACCCAATTAAATGGGCGAGAGACCTACTGCCATGTTCTCTGCTGTGAACTGGATCTCCAAGTAAGAATGGCTTGCTGGAACCCTGACCACAGTCATTTATCCACAAAAACACCTGATGCGTGAAGCTAGAGCAGCATCTCACCTGTGGCTCCAGATAAAAGGCTGAGAGTGTGGTCGGTAGAGCACAAAACTCCACCAAAGTAACTGGTGGTACTGTGTGTCGCTTGTAACGAGATGCAGAGGGGATAGAAATCTGATGAATGTTGTCACGCTTTAACATACTAAACACATATCACAGCAGCCTCTGCCTCAGAGTGGAATTGCAATTGTAAAATGATTATCTAGAAATAAGTTCTAATAGCAGGATAGTTTAAAAAAAGAAAAAAAGAAAAAAAAGGAACTCCAAACCCAGGTCAGAGATGGTTTCCTCTCAGAGTTCTGCTGTGAACAAGGGGTCGAATCTGATCCAGTATAACCTTGGCCCCGTCATTTAACATCTGGAGCTCAATTTCCTCACATATGAAAGGATTGCCCTGAACCAGTAGATCTCTAAAATTCCCACCACCTCTCACTGTTTAGGAGCCTAATTTTTACCTCCTTCTTAAGCTATCAGGAGAAAAATTAAGCAAATAAAAGAATTACCTTGAATCTCCAGGGCAGATCTCAAACCATTTTGTCCCAGGCCAAGGAAATGAGAATAGGTACTCAGAATCGGGCATCTACAGAAAGCTCTGTGTTCTGGTAACTAAGGTCACGTACCCAATGACAAAGGACTAACCCAGGTACCCTGGGACAGTTACACACTTCGTCTGTGCCAGCCACACTCAACAGCCAGACCTCTTCACCCTCAGTCTCTCGGCAGCAGCAGCCAGTCTGCTTATTAATCCATTGCTTGGGGGAAAAAAAATTTTTTAAGATAAAAAGAGTACTTTTCTAAATTAGGAAGTCCTTGGAGGAATGAAAGCATCCCAGATCAAATAAGAAAATCAAATCATTTTTGGACGTAATTCTCAGAACCTATATCCATGGATGCTATTCATTTTCAAATGTGTCCTTCAATATACTGATAGGACAGGGGTTTTTCATAAGAGCTACATTAACAATTCTAAAACCATAAACCATAATAACATGATTATTTCAAGTAATTGATCTATACCACCTTGCATTATCATTGAAACTTTCTGTGACTGAAAAAAAAAACAAGGTCAAAGAAGAAAAGACAGACCACTTAACAGAGGGGTTAAATTAGTAATTTTTGTAAGGTCGGGTTGAGAAAGAAGAGGACACTGTTTTCCATGTGATAGTAGACCCGTGTTACTTACGATCTTCTAGATTGTCTTCGCTGGACTTCTTGGAGTCTTCCTGACCCCAGCCCTTGCTTCCTCCGTAAGTATTAAACTTTTTAAAGTGTATTGCCCAAATGCATTTGCAAAGAAATGTGGTATTAAATCACTGTCAATTTCTCATAAATTCCAGGATATCAACATTGGCGGGAACAGCAACAGCGGTGCAAGTGGGCAACAGTCCGTGAGCGTCAACAATGAGCATAATGTGGCCAATGTGGACAATAACAACGGATGGGACTCTTGGAATGCCCTGTGGGACTACAGCAATGTAGGTAGCCAACACGCAATGTCCATGCTCTACTAATATGATTTTTTAAGGTTTTATTTATTTATCCATGAGAGACAGAGAGAGAGGCAGAGACACAGGCAGAGGGAGGAGCGGGACTCGATCCCAGGACACCGGGGTCACAATTTGAGCCAAGGGCAGATGCTCAACCACTGAGCCACCCAAGTGCCCTGATAGTTCTTTTTTTTTTAACAACAATAAAAATGTCTGCTAACCATAAAAGAATTAAAAATAAATGATTTCTGACTGCACATAATAAGCATGGAGTTGTAAGTCAGATTGCCTATTTTGGCCACCCGGTTTCACTCCCTAGATATAACCCTATCAATGTTTCCCACAATCAGCTAAAATTCAAACCATTCAACACTAATTAGAATCCACTATATCCAAGCGATTGCGGGGCTGTTAGGCAAATATGAACATCCTTTGGCCTTCCCTGCAGATACACCCTCAGTAACGAGGAGAGACCTGCACAAAATCACTGCGGCCTATCTCAGCCTATCTTCAATTTCCTTCTGAAAAGACAGAAACGGATGTTTCACCTGTAATTCAAAAAAAAAAAAAAAACCAACCAAAGGAAATGTAAATGACAATATTAATTGGTAAGAGAAGCAAAAAACCAAAACCAAACAAAAACAACAGTTGGCTCTGGTTAGGAGACCCAACTCCGCAGGTAGTAGCTTTTTATTTAGCAAACTTTGTACTTTGAAAAAGGCGACTCTTTATCATTTCCGTTTCATCATGTGATCAATTAGAAAACCAATCCCTGTCTTACCTGCCTCCTTGAAATGTTGCGAAGATCAAATGAGATCAAAATGTGATAGCAATTTCACGTTTATTTCAGCAAAACAGACATGTGTGGAGTGACTCCATGCTAGCACCTGAAGATGAAGCAACGAATTAGACTCTAGTTCTCTGCCCTCAAGAAGTGTGTAGTCCATCCTTAGAGATGTTAGCAATAGGTCTGATTGCAAAACTGGGCCCGGTCGGTGCTCTTAGCTGAGTTCATTACAATCTTGGAGTGTCCTTTCCCTCTGCTGCCCAGACTGATTTCTGGTAAGAAAAGCTCCTTGGGGAACCTACTTCCTACCCTCTACCATCTTCTTTAACAGGACCTTGCTGCAATCAGACTCTTTGGCAAGAAGAAATGCGTTGTGCACAGAATGAACAAGAATGTCATGCCCTCTCTTCAGACTCTTGACACGCTGGTCAAGGAAAAGAAGGTACAAATAAAAGCCTTTTTAATTTGGCTCGAGGGAGGCCTTAGGATTGCCAATAAATAATGAGGTCACAGTCAATTCCTCTTGACCACAGTACGTTGTAATGTGCACCACGAAAAGAGAAGAGGAACTGGTGATTGCCTGAGACAAGGAAGCTGCCACCACACTCCACACTGTGGCTCACACCTTCCTTACTGGTGGGGATCAAAGCTCTGCTCGAGCCAGTGGGAGCTGTCTACACTTCTCCAAGTGCATTTCGCCATGGAAATTGGGTTGGGGTTATTCGATTTAGAAATAAAAATAGAGGATACCCAGTTAAGTTTGAGCTTCAGATAAATGATGGGAAGATTATTTTAGCATAAAGTGTGTCCTAGGTGATATTTAGGACACACACACACACACACACACACACACACACACAAAACGATTTGTTTATCTAAAATTCAAATGTAACTGAGTGTCCTGTATTTTATCTGGCAACCCTAGTTGGGTGCGGAGAGAAGATCCATTGCTTTTTAAAATGTTTGCCTGAGTTCCTATTTCTGTAACTGATAAATAGGCATCTTTCATCAACCAGGTAGAGAAAATAAACCCCATTCTCAGAAGCTGGTTATTATACAGCTCAATCCAAGAAATACAAAATGACTGAATGAGGTCGAAGCTTCCGAATAAATTTAGCCTCAGACTTCTGCTTTTTATGAGAAGCTGAGGTTTCACATGGGCTAAAGCTTTTGGGACACAGAAATTCTGAGATATACAGGGTTGATGCCGATTATGAAAAGACCTGTGGCCAAGCAATACCCCCTGCTGGCCTGGTATACCCAGTCCTCATTCAATAAACCGCTGGGCTGGACCTTCATTCTCTCTCTTCCTTTCCACCCTCAGCTTCAGGGAAAAGGACCAGAAGGACCACCTCCCAAGGGCCTGATATACTCAGTTAACCCTGAAGAAGTCAAAGACCTAAACAAATTAGGAAAACCCATCGCTAACATGTGCAGGGGCGTTCCAACATACATGGCCGAGGAGATTGAAGGTGAGTAAGCTGTTGGATGGTGTACACCAGGCTATTGCTGCCGGAGTCGTCAGACTATTCTCAGGCATGTCCACAGGAGACGCCAATTATTCAGCATTTGCTCTGTGCTTAAAGTGTGTTTAAATTAGTAGCTCTTGCCGGCAGTCTTACATGATAGGTTATTATTATTCTCACTTCCTGGATGAGGAAACTGAGGCACAGGAGAGGTCACAAGTCCCTTGTTTGGGTCAGTTCCAAGCGCTCTGGCTTTGGATTCTGTGCACTTCACCTTTGGGAAATCCTGCCTTTGAAGAGTGGATCTGGAGTCACTGCAAGAGATATTTAAAGGAATGCATGAATTGCTAAGGGACAAAGAGGATGCCAATAGAATTTACTGACTTTTTACAGCTCAATCATTTGATTTCTGCCTCTTCAAAGAACAACTTTCACAAAAACAAAGTATCCACCTACCTAATATAACAGCAGCTTTCTAGATCTCTGAGTTGATTGATTTAGTCTAGATAGTTGGCTAGACAGAGTGAGACAGACTGATCTTGAAATTAGTGCATAGCTAGTTTGGAAATTGTGTGACACTAAAAAAAAAAGAATTTTTGAAAAGATATTAATACCAGTTTCTTCTTTTCTTTTTATCAGGAGCAAGCCTGTTCTTTAATTCAGGAAAGTGCTTCAGTGCTGGGATATTATGGATTCTGAACATTTCCTTCTGTGGCAGTACAGTGGAGGATTAAAAAACATTTTTGGAACACCTGGGGGCTCAGTGGTTGAGCGTCCACCTTTGGCCCCGGCCATGACCCCGGGGTCCTGGATTGAGTTCCCGCATCAGGCTCCCTGCATGGAGCCTGCTTCTCCCTCTGCCTGTGTCTCTGCCTCTCTCTCTCTCTCTCTCTCTCTCTCTGTCTTTCATGAATAAATAAATAAAATCTTTAAAAAAATGCTTTTGAATTCAGTCATCAAAATATTCGATGCAAAAAAACATGGATTCTGATGGTTTTTATCATGTCATTCTGAAAGATTTTCTGCTAGTTATTTTATTTTCTTTAGGTTTCAATAAACTTACTTGGCACTAAATTCTTTATGATTTCTATTGATACGCAGGATCAAAAGTGCAATGTGGGTGTGCGTCTGTTAAGCATCTGCCTCAGTCGGTTAAGCATCTGCCTGGGGTTCAAGTCATGATCCCAGGGTCATGTGATTGAGCCCTGTGTCAGGCTCCCTGCTCAGTGGGAAGCCTGCTTCTCCCTCTGCCTCTGCCTGCTGCTTCCGCTGCTTGTGCTGTCTGTCAAATAAGTTAATTAAAAGTTTTAACAAAAAAAAAAAGAAAGAAAGAAAGAAGAAGAAAGAAAGAAGAAGAAGTGCAATGTGGTGGCAAGCTGTTTAAGTGCATTAGACCCAACAGTTAGCCTGTATTCAGGGCCTGTCCCTTATAAAGAAGCCCTTCAGATGCTTTGGATACTACTAACCACAGTTCTGGGAATGGATCCAAGACCATCCGACTGCCCTGAAGACTGCTCCATAGTTGATGTGCACAGTAACGTTTCAGATCAGCAAGTGCAGAAATCCACTCAAAGCAGCTTGCACCAGAAAGTGCATGGTGGGGGGGGGAGTACAATTATTGCAAGGATATTGGAATATCTAAAATAATCTTACAACAAGAAAATCAAAGAGACTAGAACCAGGAGCTATATTGAGATCAAGACTCAAGTCTCCTCTTTCCTGGAAGCCAGCTATTAGTTCTTCTCTATTCCTCTTTAAATTCTGCTTCTCTCTTCTTTCCATCTTGCAGATGGCTCTTTCTCCACTCATGGTGGGAGATGGCTGGACCATGATGTTAACCTGATCTCCCATGTTTATATGTCTTTCCAGCGCAAGAGGTAAGTCTAATTCTTTTGAACTTCAGTCCTAATTTTCCTTGACCCTCTTTGGTTCAAGTGCCCACATCTGGCCAGGGAAGTAGAGTCACACAGTATGGGTACAGCAATGGGGTCTTCACTGAAGGAGAAAGATCTCAGAAAAAATAGAGACTCCAAATGTGTGTGGCAATATGAAACTCAGTTCATTTTTTAAAAATACTCCCATACGTGTTTTTTACATCCTGATGCCATAAGAGGATATCTAATCCATTCTAATGTCTCCAGATGGGATATCCCTGAAGAACCATAACAAAAAAAATAAATAAATAAATAAAATAAAGACATTGGTTCCTACCATTTGGAAAAACGGAATATTTACCAGGCCTTATTGGGAAGCAGTTATAATAATTTTCTTTATCCTGAGGGAATTTCATTGTTGTTCATGTGACATGTCCTACCAAAGCAGTAGAATTTCCAAAATACCTTGAAGCCTTGAAATGTGGAAGCTCATCAAAGAGCCATCAAAGATCAAGGTCTTAGAGGTCTTAGATATTGCCCTATCACTGTCAGTGAAAAAGAAAGAAACCTGTGATTCACAAACTGGACACAATGTCATGTAACTGACTTCTGGGAACTGATGAATCCCACATTTCTTAGAAGAATTGTCAAAAAAAAAAAGAATTGTCTAGTCACTATTTCATAATAAGGAATTAAGTTCTCTAGGAAGATATAAAAGTTCTAGGTTATATACACCTATCAAAATATATTAAGGAAAGGAACACCCTACCCTGGTGACTCAGTCGGGTAAGCGTCTACCTTCAGGTCAGGTTATGATCTGGGGTCCTGGGATCGAGCCTTGCATTGGGCTCCCCACTCAAGGGGAAGTCTGTTCCTTCTTCTCCCTCTGCCCCTCCTTCCCACTCTCTCTCTCTCCCCCCCCACACACACACACTCCCTCTTGAATAGACCAGTAAAATATATATATATATATATATATATATATATATATAAAGGAAATATATATAAATATAAATATATATATAAAGGAAATATATATAAAGGAATATATATATATAAAGGGAAAATTGTAAGAATTACAGGAGAATTCAATAATCTCACTGACCTAGTTAAAGATTTTAACACGTCTTCAATAATATAGATGAAGCAGCTAAGAATATAACACAAGCCTATCTTAATGAACTTATGTAGAATGCTTCAGAATGTATATTATTCCTAAGTATGTATGAGACATTTACAAATATTGATCACATGCTAAGACACAAATCAGATCTCAATAAATTTCAAATGATTGGCATCATGAAGAATACATTTTTCTGCCTTCAAGTTAGTTGAGAATAAATATTCCTTTCCAAATAAAGATAGTTGCATTTGTTTTGAAATCAGGCAGCATATTTCTAAATAATACATGATCCGAAGAAGAATTCATGATGAAAGTAGGATGAATTTAAAACTGCAATAACAGGGCACCTGGGTGGCTCAGTGGTTGAGTGTCTGCTTCAGCTCAGGGCGTGATGTCGGGGTCCTGGGATCGAGTGCCGCATCGGGCTCCTCAGAGGGAGCCTGCTTCTCTCTGCCTATAAATAAATAAAATCTTTTTTAAAAAACCTGTGAAATAATGAAAACACAACATATCAAAACCTCATGAATACCAGCTATAGCAAGGGAAAGAGGAAAATCTGTGGTCTGAATGTTCATTTCATAAAGGAAGAACAGTTGAAAATTGCATTAAAAAATCTAGCTTTAAAAATGAGGGAAAAACCATAAACTATCCAAAATAAATAAGAGGGAAGAAATAATATTGACAATATCAAAAGTTAATAAAATAGAAAAAAATATATACAATAGTAAGACTCGACAAAGCCAAAACTTAGTTCTTTAGAAAGACATTGACAAACTTTAGGTAGACATGACCAGAAATCCAAAAAGAAATAAGTGGGATCTATAAAAAAAATAAAATAATAAATAAATAAACAAATAAACAAAAAGCAGAATGAGGTCTATAACTACAGACAACAAATTGCTGCCAGGGGAGAGGGGGTGGAGGATGGGCAACATGGATGAAGGTGAGTGGGAGATACTGGCTTCCAGTTATGGAATGAAGAGGTCACAGGAATAAGTGGCACAGCATAAGGAAGACAGTCAGTGAGATTGTAATAGCATTGTGACGGGACAGATGGTAGCCAAACCTACAAGCAAAGCATAGTGTACAAATTTGTGAAATCACTACGTGATACACCTAATGTCACATCATGTGTCAACTACAATTTTTTTAAATAATGAATTTTTAAGATAAATCACAAGCAATGCTAGAAACAGATGAAAAAGGAAGCCACAGACGCCTCAGATACTAAAATGTTAATAAAATGATATTGTGATCTCTATATTAATAAATCTGGAACCTTAAGTAAATTGAATTTCTAAAGCAAGAATCTACCAAAGCTCACTCGAGAAGAAATATAGAGCCTGAATAATTCTAAAACCTATAATGGAAATGGTTCAGATGTTTAAAAACTTTACACAAGAAAATTACAGGCCAAGGCGGTTTTTATACTGAGATTTAGTAAAAATTGAAAATACAGATTATTCTAATCTTATAAAACTATTCAAATGTATAAGTAAGGGTTGGTGGGGGTAGGGGAGTAGTCTCCAACTCATTTCATTAGAATACTATTAACGTGATTCCAAAGCCTGACAGGGATTATATGAAAAAAGAAAAATACAGGGCAATCTCTATAATGAATATTGATGCAAAATGTCTCAACAAATTTATAGCAAATCAATTGAGCAAAGTGTATAAAAGATTGAATACAGCACAACTATGTTGTATTTCCTAGTAATGCAAGTTGGTTTGATATTAGGAAATTAAGAACGTAATTTGACCCACTGAAAAATCAAGACAACAATCTTATAATGTATCTAAATAGTAGTAAAATTACATAGTAAAGTCAAATATTCATAATAAACAAGTAATTCTCAGAAGATTTAGAATCAAAAGAAAGTTTACTAATCTAAGATTATCTAAAAAACTCTACTGTAAGTATCATGTAAAACAATGAAAACATTCCTCTTAAGAAGACAAATGCCTGTCATTAAAAACTTGAGAAACAGGGATCCCTGGGTGGCGCAGCGGTTTGGCGCCTGCCTTTGGCCCAGGGCCCGATCCCGGAGACCCGGGATCGAATCCCACATCGGGCTCCCGGTGCATGGAGCCTGCTTTTCCCTCTGCCTGTGTGTCTCTGCCTCTCTCTCTCTCTCTGTATGACTATCATAAATAAATTTAAAAAAAAAGAAAGAAAGAGAAAAAAACTTGAGAAACATTGTATGGAAAGTTAGTAAAGCAGATAAATAAATAAATAGATTTGAAAGGAAGGAAGAAAAAACTATCATTATGCCCAGATGACATAGTTTTCTGCATAAAAATACAAACAAGTCTCTAGATAATTTATGGGAGTCAGAGCATTTAGAAAGCATTTACAGGGGCGCCTGGAGGGTGCAGTTAAGCACCTGACTCTTGGTTTCAGCTCAGGTCATGATCTCAGGGTCATGAGACTGACCTCGCATGGGACTCCGTGTTTGCTTGGAGCTTGCTTAAGATTCTCTCTCTCCTCTCCTTTTACTGTCCCCCTTACTTGCTTGCTTTCTCTCTCTCAAAAAAAAATAGGAAAAAAAAAAGTTCCTGCATACAAATAATGGCTATCAACTATGAGCTGCATTCCTATATATCAGCAGCAAACACATAGAAACTTTATTTTGAAATAGCATTTATAAGAGCAGCAAAATGTACCATACAACTTGGAAAAATTACTAGTTTAACGATATTTCTTCTTTTTCTTTTTTTTAAATGATATTTCTTAAGTGACTTCTATAGGCAGAGCGCTACTGCACACACTTAAAATTCATCAGCAAATACAAATGCAAAGATCTTGCCTCGTGTAGCT